TTTTGGATGTGATTAATCGCGATTAATCGTTTGACAGCACTAAATCAAACACATACCATGAGATGATCCACATGAAACAATGCACTTTTTCAGATGATCATGAGACAAAATATGAGGTTTTGTATTTAGACAAACTGTAGATTTTTCCCTGTTTTTTAACTGTTCTCTAGATATCCGGGAAACTGCATTTGTCTATGCTATCACAGCTGCCGGGGTGCTGCATGCAGTAACACAAGCCTGCAGCCAGGGAGCGCTGCCACAGTGCAGCTGTGTGATCCTTCAGAGCTCCTCTGAAACGTCCCACGACTCCCCGGCAGAGGAGGTACTCATCCAGGCTTCACCTGTCCAAGATGGGCGCTGGGAATGGGGGGGCTGTGGAGATGATGTGGACTTTGGCTACGAGAAGTCTCGTCAGTTCATGGACACCAGACAGCGAAAAGGCAAGAGTGACATCAGGACCCTTATTGACCTGCACAACAACGAGGCAGGAAGACAGGTACGTTTACATTTCTGGGTTTGGCTTGGAACACAGAAGGATAGCATTTTACATGGGACATTGTAGTAAATATAACTTTTGCAATAGGAAAAGAAAAAGAAATACACCTCCAAAAGAGGAAAAAAATCTATAGAGAGAGATGTGGACAGCAGTCAGAATAGAAAAATGTAAAATGTATGTAAAATCTACATCACTCCTTCGACATCTGCAGTGATTACTCTTTAATCTCTTACCTTAAATGAAAATATTAATTTTTTTTCTTCTAAATGTACTATGTTACTTATTGCGGATATGCGTCATCACAGTCTGTGAAGACATCAGTGGTTCATTCAGCTACTGGCTTTACTGTTGCTAACTGCAGTGATTCACTGACTACAAACACTTCCACCACTTCACTTTTCATCCTTACACTTATGTAGACAAATAAAATTGCATATTTATCTAAGCAATATTACACGAGCAAGAGTGCTGTTGTTTTGGAGATCAACTAAGTATTATTCAGCCATTGGCAGGATGCAGTCTATTTTTGATCCTGCCAACAAAAATAGTTCCACAACAAGTCAAAACAGAATCAAAAGTGGCGCCTCGCACTACACATCAACACAGTTTTGTTCCTCTGAATCAGTGTTTTGAATGAATCAAATGAGTCACTAAATGACTCACTTAAAGACAGTCACTTGTAGCCACATAATGGCGTATCATGCAACCTGATGTAAAGTTTGCCTCGTATTTCTTTCAGTACTGTCTGTGGTTGCTAATGTTTGTATATTGTAGCAGTTTTTATGCAGTCTGAGATTCTTAGTAGATTTGGGAATATTAGGAATTTCAGTGATCTTCACAGAGTTTTTATTACAGTTGTTTATTATATAATTTTTTTTCATTTCATCATAATAATATAGCCTTTAAAAATACACACTCACGAATATTCATAGTAGTCAATGTACTCTACCTGTATGTGGAGAGTGTGTGTGTCATGTGACACAAGTACACGTACAGGCAGTTAATATACAGACCATACTTAATGTTTTCTTTAGATGTAAGCCAAAATGTTACTTAATGTAGGTTAATATACTTTTTTTAAATTTACTTTTTATCCATTATATTCAACACAAGTTAGCTATAATATGAAAGTGAAATTTTCACTTTTTTTCCACTAAAAAGCTATAATATGAAAGTGAAATTTTCACTTTTTTCACTTTTATTACTTTTTCAAAATTTGGTTAGTAATTCATTTAGTTTACTTAATATAAATAAAGACAACTCTGAAAGACCTTAACATTGATTGTGATGTCTTTTTAAAAAAATTCATGTAAAATGTGATGTGCTAACAACAACAAAAAATAGTAATAATAATAATAATAATTTCTACAGCCGGTAAAGTTAGCCAGTATGTGTTCTGCACATCAACAATCTGGTGTCAAGCCATAATTTTGGCACTTTAAATAAATGACATGGTTGTTTCACTTTTTTTTTAGCTAAATTGAGCTGAATAATGACTACTGTCTTTTTGTAGAGCTGCTTTACATCTGAAATTTGCTCTTAATTTAGGAGACTGGATGAAATGCAGGACAGATGAACAGTTGAAGAAAAAGAGCAGATGTCGTCTTTTTTTCTTAATTCTCTCTTGTTTTATGTGCATACAGGCCATACGGATACAAATGCGGACCGAGTGTAAATGTCATGGCCTTTCTGGTTCCTGCACTCTTCGCAGCTGCTGGAGGAAGATGCCTCTCTTCCGTCAGGTTGGCGACGACCTCATGCAGAGCTTCCATAAGGCCGTCCGCGTGATGGGTGGGAATGATGGTAAATCGCTTGTCCCCATCGATCCGGATACCCCTCCCCTGGATGCTAACGTCCTTATCTATTCAGCTGAGTCACCTGATTTCTGTCAGGCCAATCAAAGGACGGGTACAGAAGGCACACAGGGTCGTGTGTGTAACAGCACTGAGACAGGGCATGGAGGCTGTGATAGCCTGTGCTGCGGTAAAGGATTTGCAGATTACACACTGGAATATGAGGAAAACTGTCAGTGTCGGTTTCACTGGTGCTGTGAGGTTCAGTGCCAGAGATGTTCTGTGAGAAAGGACGTCCGCCTTTGCTTGTGAAGTCCACTCAAGGAGTTAAAAAACAGAATTGCATCTGTAGTAGTTGTGTTTGAGCTATAAGGGCACAATTGTTTACTCTCCTGTGCATAGTCTATGCAGAATGAAGACTTGTGAAAACAGGTGCTTATCATCCTCTTGCTCACATTAATTTTTTGATGGTCCACAAGACTGAGCAATATCAAGTCAGCAAGTCAGGTGGGAGCGGTGTTGCCAGGTTTTGCTAGAGAAATAAGCGACCTGGTCTAAACAAAAACAAGCCCAAAATAAGCTACCCCTGGTTTTTGGTTAAAAACATTTTTTTTTGACTGCCTAAAACTATAAGCAACTGCTTGAAAAGCCAAGCCCAAAGTCGTTTATAATAAGTAGACTTGGCAACATTGGGTGGGAGTCAGAGCTTTTATGGCTGCTTTTGACAATGAACAGTTGTCAATAATCTTACTGCCACCTGCTGGTCTTTATTAAGAGAAATTAGTGTGTTGAAATTAATGTATTTCTCTACATTTTCAGAACACTGAAAATCTGGGAATGGACTGTTGAGCTTGAGAAATTTTAGATAAAAGCATCCTCTAATTACACACTCCCAAATTAAAGCAATGTGGTTTATGTATCCTTGGTATCTAAAAATTAGCCAATGTAAGTACTGTCCAAGGTGCTGAACCCCTGACTGACAGTTGCCACACAGACCTAAAGATGCAGTCAGTACCTGACTGATTTAGAACATTTGTTGGTCTAATTATGAAACATTTGTCCATTGTATTACATCTTCCAGCAATTTCCTTCTGTACCTGCACATGCATTTTATTAACTGCATATATTTGTAACAAGTAGTAGGCTATACACTGAAAAAATGGTAACCTAAAAATGTGCTTCATGTGGCAATATTTGATGTTTTGAAATATTGGATACATTGGATACATTGTAGAGCAATAGGATATATTGTCTCCATGTTTACGCACAACCATCTATGTATATCAAACCGAAAAAAAAGAAAAGGAAAGTGTTTCAGGAAAAGAATGAAATATCTCTTTAAGGTAACAATTGCAGGTTTACCTGTTTTTACAGTGTATAACAACAACATGATAGCGGGCTTTTTCACAATGCCAATGTCTTTCATCTTATGCTTGACTACAAATGAATGTCCACAAGGTGGAGCATACACATGGCTCTTCAATGCTGCAAAAGTGTCTGAGGCTACTGTAAGCAATGCACCTGTACCACTAGGGTTTAAAATACCATATTTGTGTTATGGTGTATATACCGATTGATCTAAATCAATGATTTTTTTTAAAGCAACTGTGTGAAATGAAATTACAAATACATCATTAAAAAAAATATTCTCTTTACTTCAGTTTTCTATACACTAAAAAATCAGTTGGTGTTTTCACTCATAAATTGCTAGTAATTTTCACAATTAGTTCAAAACAGCAAGTAACACCAAATTAGAAAGACTGACATTTTTTTCCTGTAAAACTCCAATAATCTTTGTTTTATTTACAACTTCGAAGCAGCTGTGTGACATTTTGGGAATTGATTGTGTGCCTGCATGTGTTTGTCAGAGAGATCTAGTAAGTTACCCTGCTAGCTGACATGTTGAACAGCTGTAATTATGAGATACACTGTTTTCCATTGTTGGGAAAAATCCACAAATACTCTGAACCCCTTGTATAAAAATAGAAATCTGAAAGAGACTGTCTAACCCATATACACGCTCATATAAGATGTGGGCAAATGTGTTTCAAGCTTCCCTGGTTGGTAAAAGCAGACATCAGTCGTTTCACGTCGCATCAGGATTGGCAGACGGAGGAGGCTTATCCCGGTTTACAGGTCTGTACCTTTAGTTTTTTTGCCCGGCTACACATTACAAGTCCTGCCCATTGCTCCCGCTGTCTGAGGCTGCGCGCGCAGTGGGATGCAGAAGGAGTGGCGGAGCGCGCGCGATTGACTGAGGCGAGCACCGATTATTACATAGGTACGCTAACCTAATCAACTCAACAGCTGTTTCCCCCACTGTTTACCCGGTGGTCACGCGAAACATAAATGGACGTGAACCTGTGTCTCTGAAGTCGCACCTCCCCGAGGCACTGAACGGGACGAAAGGTGAGACAGCGCATTCCGAAGGGCCGGTGGGTGTTGGTCGTCAGTGGAAAAGATGGGCACGGTGCTCTCGATTTCTCCCACGTCCAGAAAAGGAGGGATTCTGGATGAGAAGACGGATGGAGCTAGCGGCAAGACGGAGAAGAGTCTCAAGCGCCATTCGGTGCTGATATCGGCTCTGACGTGGAAGCGGTTAGTCGCTGCCTCGGCCAAGAAGAAGAGTGCCAAGAAAGTGAACCCGAACCCACCCGTTTCTCAGATCACTAATCCCGTTGACCAGCTGAACAGCGAAAATCTTAAGAAGTCTCAGTCAGGCTCCGAGCGCAAGACGAAGCCTGGGCCACTCGCAGTGCCAGTCCCTACAGTACCGGATAAAAGCCTTCGATCAAGTCAAACCCAGAATGCATCCCAGAACGGAAAGCAGCTCCTGTCGGTCCAGCGGCAACCGAGCAGTCGCTCCATCATCTCGCCTAGACGAGTCATCGTGCAAGCCTCCACAGGAGAGCTCCTTCGCTGCCTGAGCGAGTTCATGTGCAGGAGGTGCTACAAACTCAAAGAGCTGAGCCCAAATGAGATCATCCTGTGGTTCCGAAACGTCGACCGGTCGCTGCTCATCCAAGGCTGGCAAGACCAGGGTTTCATCACTCCCGCCAACTTGGTGTTCGTCTACCTGCTCTGCCGGGAGGCGGTGACCGAGGATATTTCCAGCGAGTACGAGCTGCAGGCCACCTTTCTCACCTGCCTGTACCTGGCTTACTCTTACATGGGCAACGAGATCTCGTACCCGCTCAAGCCCTTCCTGGTGGAGACCAACAAGGAGGTGTTCTGGGAGCGCTCCCTGCGGATCATTGACAAAATTAGTGCCAAAATGCTGCAGATCAACTCCGACCCGCATTTCTTCACCGAGGTCTTTCAAGACCTCAAGAACGAGGGCGGCTCGAGCGATACGAACGGAAGATGGAATAATAACCTGGACCGCTAAGTTTGGCTCGAATCAAAGGGAGAGAGAAGCTCTCTGATACCTCTCCACACCCGTCCTCCAAGGGTGAAATGAATGTAAGGCCCGACTGCTGAAGGTGTGAAGAGTGTTTCACTCTCTTGCCGGTTTATTGGAAACGGACAGGGGGATTTCGCCTCACCTCCATGAGAGGGGGTTTAGGTTAATACATGTGTAAAATACAACCTTCATGACCCAGTGAATGTTACGAGCGCGATCTGGGGTTTCTTCATAGTTTACTTAATGCATGCTTAAAATATTCTACTCGTATCATCATTGTGGTTTTTGAAGAAGAAGAAGAAGAAGAAGAAGAAGAAGAAAAGGAAAATAGCGCTATCTGGTGCCGAGCTAAAGTGAGAGATGTAAATTATTAGCTTGTGCGTCAGTGTTGGGGTCTTATTTTTCTATTAGTTTCAGAAACGATGTTGTCACCGACGCTGAGCTGTCCAGGGTGCTGGCCTACAACAGACACTCTCCTCTTGTCTCCTGTGGCGCCTGATGCTATCTATCTGAACGTTGAATGTACTGTTTTACAACAAAACAATTCTCTACAGTCATATGTGCCAATTGTCATAGTATAAAACGCAATGTTTTATATTGTATACTTGAAAATATATGAATACAAATACCCCCAGACTCTCTGCCGCTTCTTTATTGTTTTGATGATGAAAAGGGACATATGCATCGGTTCGTTATTGAAGTGTCCTTTTTGCTGCGTTTTTCATCTAGGCATAAACGAACAAATCAAGGCTTTGCTGACATTGGCTGGCGCTGGCATAATACTGCATGCAGATAGAAATCTGGCTAGTTTGATTTAACTGAAAATGATTTACGTTTGCTTTTCAATATTTTAGCAAAACTCGACCATTGGTAAAATTTGAATTCAAATCATGCATGAGAACAAGCAACAGTGTAGCCTAGGGATAGTGTCTACGTCATTCCTGTGCAGGCAAATGACCGCATATGCTTGAAGATAATCAGTTGGATAAGCGGCGCAGTAACAACATAAATCCAGTGCATGGATTCACCGGAGGCTTTTCACTTTACGTCTAGCTGTGCAAAATCGGTTTATGTTAATACCGGACAACAGACTCCTACATTTAATCAATCGTTCGTGACTAAGTTATGTGTATAAATATGTATCGGCTCCTTTTTTACTCATAGCTGGTTGCTAGCCGTGGTGCTGAAACTCGCCTTCAGTTCCTGCGTTACTTTCGTTAACAGGGCCACGTAGATATAGGTTACGTATCTATGGAAACTAAGTCCGTGACTAAATATGGGGGGACCTTGAACTTGGTCGATTATATTACAAACCTCGACTCGACTCTAACATATCACGTTTCAGAGGTTACAGTAAATTAAAAATCAATATTGGTCTTTCTAACAATTGTCTGTCACATAACGAAAACATTAGACTTCCAGACGTCAGGTACGACTTGAGTACCTCAGTAATCAAATTATCCGTTTTGTAAAAGAATCAGATAAAATCGGGATTTAAATATACATTTTAAGACTATCTATTTTTTTTTGCATTTATTGAATGCGTTTTGAAACATTAGAATATTTAATACATACTTATTAGCTATATACAATTATAGGCTATAATTAACATTTGTTATATTTAATTTTTATTTTTTTTAATAATATAGTATTTAATATACTTAATATATATTAAAATGTTCTCTGTATAATATAGTATCTTTTATTTTACCAAAAAAAAATGCTGACACCGCTGGACACAGGGCACTGACATAGGCTAGTTTTCACTTTGTCCTATCGGTACAGGTGGTCCTCAAGAGAAACGTCTCGAGTGTGAAAATTGCCTCAGGGGTGCATGAGTCATTGAGCTAGTAAGAAGCAGCTGGTTTGAAACGAGAGAACCCCTAGAATTTGTGAATAAAACACGTGGTTAGGGAGCTTGAACATTTGATTGGCTGGATTTTGGTGCAGTCTGATAGAAGTGTCATTGTGACGGAAGGCTGCAGAACCGGGCCATAGGAATTCTGCGGGCGCATTCCGCTCCGTCTCTATGACAACGGCTATATTAGGAAAATGGTCTGATCCAGATCGAGCGTGGGCTGAGAAACACGAATATCTCGTACAACAGCTGTCTCTAAATATGAAACCGGACGCCCTATAGATAAATTATTACCTGTCCTG